AGAGGCAGCAGCGCAGCCAACCAGCCCAGCACACCAACCCCCACCACCAGTATTTATAGAGAGACGGCAGCTCCGATCACACACTGCTTGCACTGGCACAAAGCCGAAAGCACCAGCCTGAGGATGGCGAGTGGGACCTCACTGAAACGTCGCCAAGATACTCTTAATCTTACATGGGAAAAGACCCGAACACACATAGACCTACAAAGATATATATATAGTATTCAGCTTTGTTTGGGTATTTTCCCACGTCATTAAAGTTGTAGCAACATTTTGGCAGAAATGTACAGGCTTCTGTATTGTGTATGTATGTATGTATGTATGTATATGTTTTCTTAAGTTTTCGCGGGTACTTACATGTATGGCATTCATCTTTGTTCGGGTATTTTCCCACGTCATTGTAGTTGTGCTTTTAAAGTTGTAGCAACATTTCGGCAGAATCTCATCTGCCATCATCAGGCTTCTGTATAGTGTTCATCTGTGAGTCAGGCTTTTACACTGGTTTCAGATTTAAATTTGGGGCAGTCTATTGCTGTGCCAGAATGGTTTTTTCTTCATCCTGATTGGTTGGGAGTCTTGGTCTGTGTTTATTGGTCTTGGAGTTTGCTGTGTTCTGCTTGATTGGTGTTTCTAATATCTTCTGTCTGTTTTTTTGCTCTTTTTGTATCTTGATTGGCTGGCAACATTGTGTTACTTTATTGGAGGCCTTTAGTGCAGCTTGGCTCTGGGTAAATGGACGGCTATCATTAGTTAGGAAGCTAGGTTTCATCTGGGTGCCTGGTTGGGGTGTGTGATGTGGCTGATGTAGTCACTGAAGCAGTAGGCATGAGCTTAAATGAAGATGGTAGAGGACAGAAAAGCCTGGAGGAACGTTGTCCATGGAGTCGCGATGTGTCAGACACAACTTCGCAACTAACAACAACAACAACAACAAGAATATTCTTTATTGGCCAAGTGTGATTGGATACACTATGAATTTGTCTCGGGTGCATAAGCTCTCAGTGTACATACAAACAACAAAGTGATATAAGATACCAATAGAAGAAGATAATAGGAAAGATGAGAAGGCTAATAGTAATACAACCTTAGTACATTGGTAAATAACTTTACATCTGTAAACATATCTTTATATCTGTAAACTCTAAACAAAATTATTAGGGAAAAAATACACTAGCTAGAAGACTAAATCACTGAGTTTTGTTCAGAGTTGGTCTGACTGGTTAGGTCCAAGTGAGCTACCAGATGCGCAGTCTTGGTATCAGGATTTCCTTCAAATGTTCTTGAAGTCTTGGCTTTGTTCTCAGATCTGGGGTATTTTAAGGAACCCCTGGCAATTATTTGTTTTTGTTGGGAAGGTGATTAATGTGGTTTTGTACAGAAAGTCATGTTTCTTTTAAATTATGTATTCAACCAAGAGTTAGTTTGTTTTTTAGAGTGGGCTGCCTCAAAATCTAATAAATGAATAAATGTAAGGCCAAAACCACAATCCACTCCTGTTCAAAATCAATATTAGGTTTTGCCTTTTATCCGTATTATTAAATGCCCATGGTATTGCAAAGCAAATAATAAAATCATTGTAGCATCTTTCTGCTTTTCATTCTGATTTCCATTATTGGTTAGCAAACTGCTTTTGTAATTAAAAGTTTTTGGTGAAGCAGAGAACCTGTGTTTTGTCAGTTCACAAGATATTTCATGTGCCCTCTGCTTCAGGGTATTCAATATATCAACTAGATAGCATTATCAGCTTATCTTTTTAGCAGTTTTTTTTAATTACATCAAATATCTAATGGAATAATTCAGCAAAAATAGAAGCCAAGCATCTGATAATAGGGTGGAAACAAGTGCTGTCATTCCATTGATGCAAAAACTTTTCATCTACCAGATGTTTTCCCCCTCTTCTCTGACATCATTGATGCAAGAGTCTGCTGCTCTGTATTTTTTTCTGAAATATCTATTCAACCATTACTGAAATGTAAGAAAGTTGCAGATTTTTTTGATAGTTGCTACCTTTTGTATATCTAAATTCACATTTTAGCATTGTTCTAACCATTTCTAGCAAACATTTTTTTAGATTGAAATTCTGAAATTTATTTAGGAAATTTATATTGCCGCCTATTCGCACATGGCAACTCAAGGAGGCTTACAGAACTGTAAAATAATGGTTCACATGTATGGTTTTAAACAGAAATCCTAACAGAATCCTAATTAAATGATTTTTAATCCTAACAGAAATCCTAATTAAATGATTTTTTTAACATACCAAAATTATACAGATGGAATTAATTTCACTAACTAGAGTGTTAATGAACTTGTGCTGCACATAAAGATGAGTTTATTGTCTTGTTTGAAAAAAATCTACAGATTTATTATTAAAAAGCAATAGGTTACAAGTATTTACCATATGATGGGATGACTTTTAATAAAGAATATCAGGAAAGAATGCTGATGATTACAACAGACAAAACATCATTAAAAAATTTACATGAAATTAATGGTCCATCATTCAGTGTTCAACATCTCTGTTTATTGTGAGACAGGCTTGATATGAAGGTATGTGTGTGTAATTGCATACGTGTACCAATACTAATTGCCTGATTTAAAAAGAAAACATTGCAAGCTGCTATATCTATCAAAGTAGGCAATTTTTAAATCATTCGGCAGTTTATCATGCTAGCAATATAGGTAACAGTCTGAAAGCTCTGAAATGTCATTCTGAAGGCAAGTGGACATCATAGTTTTTGAAATTTATTTAATCAATTTTTATAGCCACTCATCTCAGCTGGTGACCCTGGGTGGTGTGAATAATACTAAAAGTAAAATTGAGAACAATGACAATGACAAAAATTAAATACATAGCAGCCAAGAAGGGTAACAATGCATCCAGGAGATAGGTTCCCTCGCACACCCCAAGCCCAGGCAGTCCCAGCACATCCGTAGAGCTTAATTTAACAAACAAGGTCTTGTATGTTTCAGTGCAGCTACCCGCACTTTTGCATGTCCAATTTGATCCAGCCCCCCCCCCCCCCCTGCCCCCATCTTGCACAATCAACACAACCGGACTGAATTTCCTCCACTTACTGTTCTTGGGAGAGTTTTTTCTCTAACTGAACATAACGTGGACATTGGGGGGCGAAGTTGGAGGTATTAAAGGAACTCTTCTTACTTATGTGACTGTTGCCTTTGTGCCATGCCCCGAATCATCACAATAATTAGATATTCAAAACCAAGGAAGCTTTCTTGGTGCATGTTCATTCTTTACAGAAGGGTGGTAGAAGTTAGTGTTTGCCTTTTTCCCATAAGCTCTTCCTCCAATTTGCCATGCTAGCGTTCAAAGCAGTGACGTTTCGTTTTTCTCTCCAACTATAATCATAATTGTATAAACAAGAACTTCACTCAACTTTGTGTGCAAGAAATTTCCATTTCTTAAATGGCTTCTAGGTAAAATGCTTTTGAAGCTGAGAAGAGTTGTATAAGCTGTTTATGATAGTGGATGTTTGCCTTTTAAGAATAAATAATCCATTAACTATGCATACAGATTTGAGATGCCCCAATACCTGTTTGAATAGTAGTAATCCAGTGGAGATGGTATTTTGCCTATTACCAGATCTTCATCCAGGCAGATTAGGATGATTTGGCCAAATAACTTAAGTATGTATTGGTTTATGGCTGAAGGTTTATATCTGTAAGAATGAGTATGCTGTTTGTTACAGGTTACTTAACGTTAGAAGTACTTCCAACTGACCTAGAATCATTTTAAATATTGAAAATTATATATTATTGGATCTAACAGATAGTTACAGGTAGTTTTTTTTCTGAGTTGGGTTTTCTGTACTTTAGAAAATGTAATTGAATATAAGGGCAGTAGCTCAAATAGCCCAACTTCAGTTCTGTCTGTACAAATAAGCTGATAAACATTGAGATTTAGAGCTTCCTGATACCAGCATATGTCAGTCTTTATTACCAAGCATAACAAGCTCTTGACATGCAGCAGGTTACTGAACCAAATAGCTGAGTTCAGGTTCTTGTATTCTTCCTTCTCTATGCTTTGACCTCTTTTCAGTATTTTGATCTTGTTTAAGTTATTTCCCTAGCCCTTTGTTAATATTTTTACATCTTATCCTCTTTTATGTTCAATAACCATTTTCTAGAACTTCAGTAATAATTTCTCAGAATGAGTTCTAACTTCAAAATGGGCATCTTTCAATATCACAATGCCTCTTTATAATTTAAATGAGGAACATTTCTAGAAAGTTCAAAAGAGCTCAAACATACATATTAACATACTTAATACTGTATATGTTTTCAAGTTAAAACTGATGTGTTCATGCTAATAGCCTACCCTCCCCAAATCTGATAGATTTTACGTTTGCTTGCACTTTTTAAAAACACCCAGATTAGAAGCTAGTAAAAAGATTGCTTTTGTAAAATTTAAATTAGCTTATTAAAATAAAAGTTGTTGTCTCTCTGGATTTCAGAAGTAATAAATGGAAATTTTAGGTAGAGAACTGAAGCAACAATAGCAGTTGTAGTAAGTAGAAAATGAATGGACTTCATATGCAAAAGGGTAACTATTGATGTTTTAATAAATGATCTGTACTCTTACATTCACAAGAACTTACCAGTTGCAATGGTTGGGATGCTTCAACTATGGAAAGTTACTTAGTAAATTTAGATTAATTAGTGCATCTCAGCTGAAAGTATCCCACAGATTCAAGTTATAAGATCAAATAAACAAGAGGAGAAAAGATGGGAACTAAATATAACAAAATAATGTGTATGTTTCTTGGTATTCTTTTGTTTTGGAATGATTTGGAATATAAATTTCTAGAACTATTACTAGAATATAAGTAAATATATTTTAAATTTATTTTAAAATATTTCAATTGCACGATAAGAACTTTCTAAAATATTGGTAAAAGGAAGAGCGGTTTCTGAAATACTTCAGAATTCATTCTCTTTTTCAGAAGACTATAACTAGTCTTATCTTTGTTTCCTTACAGTGAACACCTACCTCTTCATGATGCAAGCCCAAGGTATCATGATTCGTGAAAATATGAGAACAATAGGAGCGCAGGTTTATGAACAGGTGGTCCGCAGTGCCTATGCCAAGAGGAACAGCACTGGAAACGACTCTGGTATGTGGTGGGATTTAAAAAATTTTTACAGCCTGTTCTCTGGGCGTGGCTTGGTGGGCGTGGCAGGGGAAGGATACTGTAAAATCTCCAGTCAGAGGTGGTACTTGCCAGTTCTGTGAACTACTCAGAATTTCCACTACCGGTTCTCCAGAACTGGTCAGAACCTGCTGAATACCACTTCTGATCAGGCCTTTTGGAATATCAGAAGGGAAGTGGGTAATCTAATTATGGAGGAAAGGAGGTTAGGTAAGCTAGCTTTACAGAGAAGGCACATCTCCTGGGACATAGTTCTCCGGCTGGTGGGATCAGCAACATGACCTCACTGCCAGATCTAATAGGGCAGGCTGATATAACTGGGGAGAGGTAATCTGTCATATATCACAGTTCCATGTCATGAAGGATCCAGTTCAACACCTTGAATTGTACCTGGAAGCAAGCTGGCAGCCAGTGCAGATCACAGAGCAGAGGTATAACATGCTCTGTTCTAGGAGTGCACATAACTGCCCGTGTTCCTGCATTTTGTATTAGCTGAAGCTTCTGGATACTCTTCAAGGGCAATCCAATGCAGAGTGCATTGCAGTAGTCCAGTCTGAAAATCCCTAGGGCGTGAGTGATTGTAAACAAGGCATGCCAGTTCTGGAGCATGTGCAATCCGTGCCCAAGACAAAGCTGTACAAAGGTCTTCCTAGTCATGGCTGCCACTTGCTCATCAAGCAGGAATCTTGACTCAAGGAGGATCCCAGGTTTATGAACTGAGCCTGAATGGGGCAATGCAACCCCAGTCACAGGCAAAGATGACTTAGTGAAACCAGTCTACCTCAAATCCAAAGCACTCAGTCTTTCAGTTTCAGCTGAAGCCTGCTGTTCCTTATCCAGAACCTTGCAGCCTCCAGACTCTGGGATAAGATATTCATAGCATCATCTTGTTCACTAGAGGTGGAGATCTATATTTGAGTATCTCAGAATGCTGATGACATCTCACACCATAGCAACAAATGAGTTCGCACAGGGGTCTCATGTAGATGATAAGGAAAGAACACAGCGCCGAATCCTGTGCCACCGCACAGTGGGGGGAGCAAGGGAGGGAATTCTCCCTAATCATCACTAAGGTCCTAAAGGAAGGAAAGACAGCACCATGCTGCCCATTTGTAATCCTCTCAGCCGATCCAGAAGAATATGGTAAATGGTATTGAAAGCCACTGAGAGGTCCTGTATGGCAAGGATGGATGCACTACCCCCATCCTGTCCATGCCAGAGGTCATCTAAAATCACAGTCCATGCAGTTTCTGTCCTTTAGGTTCTGAATCCTGACTGAAATGGATCCAGACACATAACCAGATGCCTTTGATAATTGCTTTAGAAGTAGAAGTGCAGCTGATAACCTGAAGTGGAAGACACCATTTCTTTGAAAATTAACATTGGCTTTATTACTCCTCAGCTATTTAATAAGAACAGCAAAAGTCCTGGCTTGTTTAGTGTTTCTTGCTTTTCAGCTGGCTTAGATGGTGTGACTATGAGATCTCTGATACAAAATGTAGGAAATTTTCCATTGGAGTAGTAACCAACTTTGGAAATGTAGATGTTTATATTTAGCACAACCAACTTCTACATTTGCACAGTACTTTGTTCCAGCCTTTAGTTATGTGGGTGGATCATAATCAGATCATAATCCAATTATATGGGAAGCCATAAAAATCATATACTTAAGTAGTCATGGCTTTTAAAAAGAGTACTTTGTTTTAATTTTTCAATTTTACTTTCAACACCACTTGAACACTAAGCTTTTTCTTCTAACCCACCCAATAGCCAAATTCTCTGGGTGAAATTACATAAATACTAATGTAAAAAAAAAAGAGAGAAATAGGAAAACAGTAGTATACAGGAAAGATATAAAACACATAAAAACTACTGTTGTAGCTTGAAGCAAGGGCTTTAAAATCATTCTGAATGTTAACATATAAAAAACATCTGGTTATACCTGTAATGCTACTATAAATAATACAATGGCTTGACTAGAGAGAACAGTGCATCAGACAAAGTTTTTAAAAAGCACCTTTGAGACAACCATGACCTGGATGTCTGAGAATCTCCATAAATATTAAATTACATGTTACTGGCTCATTTGTACTGCAGGCGCAGTTTTCTGCTCTTGTTTCCTACTCTAGCTTCACTTTTAAATATAAAATGTTATATGTCAAAATAATTTATGCTTGGTTGTGGAAATGTTATTAGCTGGGATGTTGTGTTGCACTAATGTATCCGTCCATGATATTTCATCCTAAAATAAGTAAGCGTGTTTTCGTAGAAACAGTCTCTTGTGCTGACATGTGTTTCTTGAATTATTATTCATTGTAAAATGCACTGCTCATTTTCTTGGTACCATCTCACAATAACGTCATTCGATTTCCTTATAAAAGAAACTATACCCAGGGAAACAGGAAATCATTTCTAATTTCTTTTGCAAGGTTTTTGGCTTCTGAAGGCATCAAAATAGATAACATTGCCTTTGAAATCACAGCTTTTTTTTCAGATTTCCCAGCCAATCTTATCTTCTTTGTAAATTTTAATTGTTTCCATTTCTTAAAGTATTTTCCTGAGATAGTTAGAAAAAAACACACTCTGCAAGTTGATATGTAGTAAAAATTCCCAAATGTATTGCTAGGATACACCATTCAAATTGTATCTTTCATCTGTTTGAATCAATTCCTCTTCAGTAGTTCCCTTGTTCCATCTAAAATTTTAAAAATGATAAAAATGTACATGAAGGGTGCAGTCATAGTTTCTATATGAAAGAAACGTTTAAGGTATCTATGGAAAGAGCATCTTACTTTATGTACTTTTACGGCTTTTACTGCTGATAATACAATAGTACCAGCCAAATAATTTTATTCTTGATTCTTTCCTCCCTAATAATTTTTACTTTTATCTTAGAGCAATTTTGAAATTAATTTAAGACCCTGTAGCAGTTAATTCACAAAAAAGAAAAAAAAGATGTGAAGATTTGAATTTATGATCTCATATATTTACTGGACATTTCATTGTATTTAGAGAGCTATGCAGCCTCTGAACTCATTCACAACCGTCTTTATTTTTGAATGTAATTTTCTCATGAAAATCAGCATATTGTCACATGAACATTAACAGGTTCATTTATAAGAAAGCCACAATAGTTTCAGTAGAAGAGAAATGGTAAAATTAAAAAATGAGCATTCTGAGTAATACGTTTTATATCAAGGAAATTCATGAGTTGATATTCTAGTTGTCTTAATATGCACTGTTCAGATCTATACAAAGTGTAGCTATCATAAAAATTAAGATAAAAAGCAGAAAAAGGGAATTAGTGGTTTGTTACTGATGAGAATATATATGTTGCTATGACGGTAACATGTAAGCAGAATCACCTTGCCTAATCTAGATACTAATGGAGTGCCTTGTATTGCCTAATTTCAGTGTCATGTTGGCCTCCGTCATGGTGAAATATGAGCACCCTGCTGCAATTATTACACATTCTGATAGCTGAACTCCACTGTGACCTTGTTGAAAAAAAATAGAGGACAATTTAAATTTGGGGGAAAAACAATTAGAATCTTTTTATTGTACTTTAGTCTGCATGTCTTCATAGATTTGATATGTTAGGTCAAAACAAAAAATATTCATCTTCAGTGCTATGAAAGATAAGGCATTTTATGTCACCTAAGACATTTTAAAAACAGTTACGTAAATAACTGCAGCTAGCTGGAAAATTTGTTCACGTTTGTCGTAAATAACAACAACATAGAGCCAGGCTTTCCCTATGGCTACTCTGGATCATTGATATTCTCTTTCTTCTGAAGTGAAGAGGGTTTGAAAGCAAGTGAAGATCATTCTGTTTTGTTTGGTTTTCAGCAGATAGGTTGAAGTTGTTGAAAAGATAAACATCCCTGTTAGTTTTGATTTGATACCTGCTACTTATTTTGGTTATTATGTTATTATTTTTATGTTTTACTTGCACAGGGCCTTGCAAAGTAATTGACAGATGTTTGTGATGGCAAACCTATGGCACGTGTGCCAGAGGTGGCATGCAGAGCCGTCGCCCCAGCTCACCTCTGCCGTGCATGCGTGCCTCCTGCCAGCCAGCTGGTCTTTGGGTCTCTGTCGCACATATGGGGGGACACACGCAGGGGGCGTGTGCCCATGTGCGGGAGGCAGGACACACATGGGGGTCGTATGCGCAGGGGTGGGACACATGCACGGGGCACGCTTGCATTTTTGGGGATGTGCACGTGCACGCTTTGGGCACTTGGTGCCGAAAAGGTTAGCCATCACTGGTATATGCTATTGTAAAAATGAAATAAATTAATCATAAATTAAGGTATGTTGTAATATATAAATTTAAATGAGTCCAGATTAAATATCCAACCAATGGATATTAGAAGTGGGAAAATGTGTCGCTGATCCTGAGGATCAATCTGTTCCTCTTAAATCAGTGTTAAGGTCTTAACAGTATACTGTAGCTAATGGAAGTGTGGGTAGATAGTTTGTTTGAGTTTCATTTGTGTTGATGCATTTCAGACTCTTTTAAACATGCAGTCAGAAACATCAAGAACTGGTCTTATTATGTTTGATAATTTTGTCTAGTTCAGAATACTATACAGTGCCTGCCCAGGACATTAAGAGGTTTTTTCAAGCCCTATTTGGAAACATCAGAGTTTAAACTTTAAATCCATTGTGCAGGTGCTGTATTAATGAACTAAAATCTTGTTTCTTAATGAAAATCTGATTTGAAAGAAGAATGGCTTCTTTATCAAAAGAGATAGGTCAGCTAATATTTTATAGCCACTATCAGATACTTCAGTTGAATTAAGTGTCCATAATTCTGCCTGCTTTTGCTGTCCATTTTATATACTAAAAATCCAAATGTTGCTTTTATGGTACTGTTGACATATAAAATATGAGCACAGCATGGCAAATCCTAAGATAAACATTAGGAATTCCTCAAATGAATAAAATTAATAAAATGATGTATTGATACAACTATCAGTGTCTTACTGGCTTCATAGGTATTTAATGCATTAATTCTGGAATTTCTTTTCTTTCTCTTTTTTCTTTGGGAGGAAATTTCATTTCATAATGATGAAATCATGAAAGTTATTGTTTATGTTGCATACTAAAGATATTTAGACAAATAAATGGAATGACTTGACTAGCAATAGTAAATAATGAAATACTTTTGAATAACAGTCTTATTTTCTCACTCTTCCATCAGATTATCCTCTTGATTTGAATCACAGTGAAAACTTTCTTCAAACAACAACTTTCCTTCCTGAAGATTTTACCTATTTTCCAAATCATACTTGCCCTGAGAGGTTTCCTTCTATGAGTAAGTTTTATTACAATTTACATAATCACTCTTCCTTCTTTCCAGTTATATGCTCACATATATAAGTCATATTCCAGCCAGAAATTAACTTTCTGAAACCTTATTTAATTATTCATGTAATAAGTAGATTGCTGAACTAAGTTTATATCATGAAAGAAACCACTGCTTATTTCCTTGAATTGCTTTATACTACATCAAGGCTTCAGCTAACACTTCTAGGCTGTACATAAGCCACTTCTTGAAATGCTGGATAAATCACTGAATTGGCACCAAGTGAAGAAAGATGACTATTTTCTTTGAGCAGGTTCTGTTACTTAGCAAAACAGATTCAAAAAGGATGTTCTATTGAATATTCCTTGAGTGAAGCATCCCTTCATGGCTTTACATGGTCCAGACAATATTTTGTTTATTAATGAACAATAAAATAAAATCTGCTTACTTCATTCATGTCCAGATTTTCTCATCTAGGGATGGGGCAGAAATAAAGACCTTTTACCACATTATTTATCACGTATACATTGGAACTACTCTCATATTTAAAAGTAGGTTATAGTCATCAAAAACATTTTATTATCCACCATAGGCACATGGAGACTCTTCTTAGATATTCATAAAGGTGATACATGAACACCTAAAAGAATATAGATTGTTTAAGCGTAATGTTTATTTGTTAATGACTGTTCAAACTTATGTGAAGGTTCGGGCCATACATTTCAGGCATTACAGGTAGAGCACACATAGGACTGGCTCCCATTATTTATGATGATTAATGTCCCTGCAGTCATGTGATCACCATTTGTAATCTCCTTTGCTGGCTTTCTACAAGCAAAGTCAATGGAGAGACCTGAAGGTGTCACAAGTGACAACCATGTGATTTTGCACTTAAGAATGGCACTGGATTTGCTTAACAATGACGATCAAAAGTGCTAGAATTTCCATTGTTTAGCAGTGCGGTTCTGTGTTGTTACTCTATGTGCCACATTGCTTAGTGGCAGAAATTCCGGTCCCAGTTACCATCATTAAGTGTGGACTGCCTGTAATGTCTGAAACATATGGTCTGAATCTTAAACAGGATTATCCTAAAATGTTGAATTCCATCTACTGTTTCTAAAGGCTGGTATATCCAGTGAAGCATTACAAGTGCACATACTTGAAAGATTCATGCTTCAACAGTGTTTGCTGAGTTTCTGTGCTCTAAATTTAGGAATAAGCTGGGTGAGCCTGATTATATTGGTGAAGGATAATGAAGATTAGTAAAATTATTGTCACCCAGCATAAGTAGCAATTGCTCTCCATCAAGTTTGGTAAATCCAAGCACACAGATTTGTTTTATGTGGTGTTTATGTGCTTCCTTTCTTCATACTCAGTAGTACGGTAAGAATGTGGTATTGTTACATATTATGCATCTGGAAGTAACTGTACTTGGTTATTCTTCCAAATGAAGTATACAGTACATACAGTAATCCTCAACTTCATAACCATCTTTTCAGCAACCACAATGGTGCTAAATAGTGCATGATCTGAGAGTTTATGCACTAGAGAAAAATTCGTTATGTGTCCAATCACACTTGGCCAATATTCTATTCTATTCTATTCTATTCTATTCCATACCATTCCATTCCATTCCATCCTCCCCTCCTCTATTCTATTCTATTCTATTCTATCCTATCCTATCCTATCCTATCCTATCCTATCCTATCCTATCCTAT